TAAAAACCATAGGACCGTAGTCCACCAAAAGCTCCACTATAAATTAAATAAATGGGTTCACAAAGTTCTTCTTTAGCTTTACCTAGAGGCATACATCAACATTGTCATCAAGAACAACGAGTCTTGGAATAACAACCTATGCAAGAGATCAATACGGATAAATCTTCCCAAATAGAGTTACTCGTTCATGTCCAAAAACCCGATGTAAGGAGCACCAATTGACGATCCGACCATTCAAATTAAAGAATTGTGAGTCACAAGTATACTATCAAGTTCGATCACACCACAAATCAATATTCAAACATCAATTTAATGAAACCGCCACGACTTCCCAAAAATCTAGATTTTCCGTTTTCTCTTATTTTCTTTCTCAAACTAATTTTCTTAACAATTACGGATTAAAAGAGTTAGCTAGCTATCAATCACAATAGTCAATCAATTAATTGGTCAACTTAGATAATTACTTATGCAATCATGATTAATTTAATTCAAATATCAATTAATTATGCTTAGAGAAACAAAAGATACTCAAATCATAAAGAATAGTTTAAAGATCAAACCCGTGTCTAACAATCTTTTACAAATTGAAGTTGAGATCCCTTAAACCGAAGTTTTTGCTAAATTGAATTATTTTTTATTTTATACTTGTTATCTTAAATTCGGCTTTGTAAACAACAAAACGCCCTAGTTTTTAGACATAACAAAATTGATTGGCCGATCTCGAGGGTTCGACTAGACTTGCCCTTATTATAAATTTTAATAAGAGCGAGTAAATAAAATTTGGTGCATTTGACACGCATCAAAATTTTGACAAAAAGCCTAATAATTAATGCCCAAAGCTTAGTTGTTGCTTGAAGTGTAAGTATAAAAACGTCAAAGAAAATAAGGGATATATGTGAGAGAGCAAAATAAGAAAAAGCAAAAAACCTAGATTTTTGGGAAGCTATGACAATTTCATCAAACTAACGATCCGGTATTGATTTGTGGTGCAATTGATTTGAAATCTTGAAAGGATACTTGTGACTCATGATTCTTTAATCCGAACGACCAAATCGTCAATTGGAGCTCCCTACATTAGGTTTTTTATACATGAACAATAGCTCTCTTTTGGAAGATTTATTCTTATTGATTTTTTCATAGGTTATTATTCCAAGACTATTATTCTTGATGATAATGTTGATGTATGCCTCTACACAAAGCTTGAGAAGAGCTTTGTTAATCGATTATTTAATTCATAATGGAGCTTTTGGTGGACTATGATCTTGTGGTTTTTACTTCTCACATAATGGAGGTTTTTTATATTAAAATTGATTTGTGTTTATGTGTAATTGATGGTGTGTTATTTGTATTATTATATTGCTTTACCTTATTTTTTTTATTAGATTTGAACAAGAATAGAGAGAAAATTGTTCCACTGCATAGTTTGATATTTTTCAGGTTATTGTTGTTATTGTTTTTCTCCCATCATATTTATGTGTAAGAAAAGACTAAACAACTAAAAGTAGAATCAACGAATGCACAAATCAAGAGAAGAAGCAAACCAAACAATCTATAACTTAAGTTGATGAGATTCCAATTTAGCCATTAAATGAACACATTGTTTTCTTTCATGCAAAATGTGTTACACATTAATCAGTCAAAAGCAAAGGAATATCACTAATGATAGCCTAGTATGAGTTATTAGACTTACAACCCCGTTCAGTAAAACCAATTGCTTTCAAAGAATCTGATTCCATAGCTAGTTGCTTCACACCTGTCTCCCAAGCTAAACCGATCCCTTATGATAAAGCTAATAACTCAGCTAACAGATTAATACCTACACCTTCATGGCAATAGAAACCCTACAGCTAATTACCACCGCTATCTCTAAGGAGACCACCAAAGCCTGTAGGACCTGGTTTCCCTACTTCCAACTTGACAAAATCAATATGTGGAGGAGACCAACTAAACGAGTGGGCCTATTGTTAGCAGAAACGGCTAATTTTGATAAAGCTAAACTTTAAAGGGTTGGACAGATGGTTAAAAAAATATATTTCTTTCATTAACGTTTTTAGTTCAAATCTTGAAGGCAACATTTACGAAATTTATTAAACTTAAGTGCAAAGTAGATCTGAAAGGTGTGTCCAAGAAAATTATTTGAAAAAATAACTTAGTTTCAATTGCCGAGCAATTTGACCCAAAAAATACACAACATTTTTGAGAAAAAAAACTGATAATGTCATTTTAACTCTTTTATACATATTTTCATTTCATCACTTTATACAGCAACCAAACTAACATTTACTATTTTTTTTTTCTTAAAAAGAAGTTTAACAATAAATTTAAGTATAAAAAAATGTCTACAAGTAACAAAAAAAAAAAAAAAAAAAAAAAAAAAAAAAAAAAACAGAGAGTAAATGTTATGTTTGAAATTGTATATCAAATTTGTGATAGTTGATTAAGTTTTGATTTTTTTTAATAATTTTTATTGTATAGAAAATCATCTCCATTAAGAAATTGTAATTAATATTTATGTTTAAAATATCATCGAATTTAAATTTAAAGAAAGGAAACTACAAAGAAAATTAGTTTGGTCACCCCCCATAACTGTTAGGACTAACAATAGAAGGAGCACAACCCATAACTCTCAACACATTTAACTTTTATATTTAGAATGAAAATAAATTAATTAATGTGAACAAATCACTAATTAGTAATCATAAATTAACATATTAGTTGGTAAAATAAATTAATATAAATATCTCAAGTAATTTTTGTTTATCAAGAGGTTTAATACACCTTGGGATATATAACAAAAGCTGAGTAGTCTTCCTAATCCTTAAATTTATCCACACTTTCAAGATTTGAATTTAAAACAACCACTTAATTGTTTCTTAGGGGACAAAATCATTATTATTATTATTATTTTGGAAAGCATTATTCTGAATTTGATACCAAATGCGAGACGGTAATTTCCTCCTGTTTGGGTTGGAGGAGGTCTGTTTTTGTTCATAAATCATAAGCACAACTAATGTTTTTTTATTCGATTATAAGGGTAATGCTTACACACTAATCGAGACGATGTTTTTGTGATGATTTTAAAGGCATGTCCAGCACAACAGCGTCATGCATTCAACAGGTGTTAACCTCAAGATTTGAACCATGAAATCATAAAATAAACATGCCTCCTTAACCACGAAGCCAATCCTTTAAAATTTTAAACCATAGTTAATGTTATTGACACGTAACAGCATGATATCATGACATCTATAGATAAAAAGAATGTTTCCTCCAGCAAGCATATCCATGAGATTTATGTTTTCCAAGTTTATTTATTTACTTGTGTTAATTAAAATTTCAAAAATTACTATAGTTGAATTAGGAGAGAATAACTTTTTAGTGTCCAGTCTTCAATTTCTAATGATTTGCTACCTTATTTTTGAATTTTTTTTTTGGCTTGAAGTCACCTAAAACCCAATTATGTTGATATGTTTGACAAAAACTCGTAACGTGACAATCAACTCTAAATACATCAACAATTCATACTCTTAGATAATTATAGAGACTTAAATAGAAAAAAATTAATCTTAGACAATGAAATAGAAAAAAATAAAATAAAGATTGGCGTTGAAAAAAAAAATCTATAGTTGGGAACCAAAAATGCAATTTTCTTAAGAAATTTATTTTAAATTTTCTCATATCTCTCTCTCTCTTTTTACTCGATATATCTCTTCTTTATTATAAATAGATTTCATGCATTTCTTGTATTTTCATTATATATATATATATATGTTAAAACTTCTTTTCGGACATTAAAATTATATAATTCTAAATCTCAAGAACACCAATAGTGTAATAAAATCACAAACATAAATAAACAAATCTAGGATCAAAGCAACACGTATCCGTAAGTAGTTTCGCTATATCAAAATAGTAATATTAAATTAATATCGAATTTCACAATTCAAGTACCAAGAGAATCTTCTTTTTTTGTTTTTCCTATTTTGCAAAGATTTTGGTGAGAGTTTTTTTTCTTTCTATTCTTTTATTTTTTTTTCTTACTTTATCCTTAACTATTTTCCTCTCATATATATATATATATATAACTTCCATATATATATATATATATATATATATATATATATATATATATATGGAAGTTAGGAAAGTAACCACCACAACAATTGCATAACAATTGTTTATTCCTTTTTTATATATAATTTTGTTATCCGGTCAACCCGTCATAGGCGACTCGACCTAAATTCCTTTTTCTAGCATCTTTCACTCGCACATGACAAGCTAGACTCGATGAAAGACTCTCTATAATATCAATAGTAAAAAAAGAAGGTATATCTTCATGCTAACAATTGGATCATGCAACCTAACAAGCATTTACGCATTTTAAGAGTTTATTACTATGCCTTTTGTTAGCACCCAATTTTTATTCCTATTTTATTTTTTATTACAAAAATATTAAAAAATGATAAAACAAAACAAAAAGGACAAATATATAAAAAAAGAGAAAATAAAAAAGGAAAAAAAATTAATTGGAATAATTAACTTAGATTAGTTTTACGAGGGAGCTAACTAAAAAAAAGTTTGGAAATAAAAAAATAACAATTGAGAGGAAAATTAAAAAAATTCAAAACCTCTATCCTTTAATTAAAATAAAAAGGAGACACAATTAGAAGAAATTGAAAAAAGTCCTAATTACCCGAGATTTAAGGGTCCCATTGAAACAAACAACCACAATCGGACTTAAATGAGAAGATTGTGGAGAATTGAGGAACAAAATTTTACCAAAAAACCTAAAATAAAATACCTACAAAAAGGACCCTTTGCTTTTTTTGGATATTATTAACTATCATTTACCATCTTTAAGCCGACGGATACTATTCCTCTCTCTTTTTCACCCGAAGCTTTATAGCAGCCCCTTTCATTTCTTTCTTTCCTTGACAAAAACCACCATAGCCACCTCACAACCCTTCATCTTTCTCTCTATATCCATCTTCAACCATAAGCCTCCATCTCCACCTTCCTCTTTCTCACCCGAAACTCACCAACACAACCCACGAACTCCTCACAATAGCCTCACAACAACTCCCTTTCCTTTGTTCCGATCAATCGCCCCAAGCACCAGCTGCTCCCTCATTACCCGACCAACCAGCTCACACAACGACGATAACGTGCAGCATCGTGCGTAACACAGGTGTGCACCCGCCTTATGTTACAGTTCACTAAAGCGACCCTTTTCAACCCCCTACACAGCCTCTTTATAGCATCTAAATAGCCCCTTCAACCTCCTAAACAACAACCCTTTACAACCCTCTAGATAGCCTTTTTATAGCTTCCAAACAGTCCCTACAACCGCCTAAACGACGACCACGACGACCCCTAAACGACCCTTTTTTACATGTGTAATACCCCGAACTCCGTGAATGAATAAAATAATATATTTTAAATATATATGAAAATTATTTTATGTGTATAGAATAGTTGCTAGAGAGATGCTAGAATATTTCATACACTTACGTTAATTTTTCCGTGCTCGGTGAATATTTTATTAGCTTCTCTATGCGTGAATAGTGCCTTTTATGCAAAATACTTATTTTGTGTGCCTAAATAAATGCATAAAAATTATATGATTGATGAATAAATTACTATAGAAAGTGCATGAATTTATGATGAAAAGAAATTATTTTTTTAATGTATGTAACATTAATTATGCACACAAAGGGATTTAATTACATGAGAATTCGAAACTTAATTGTACAAAATTAAAAGTTTTTGCTAAATTTAGAAGTAAATTTCAAGAGGCTTAAAAATATTTGAAAATCCTAAGGGAAGGACCAAAAATATTCATTTGAAAATTTGAAGGACTAAAATATAGGGACTAAATAAAACAATATGACAAAATGAGAGACCAAAATAAATATTTTTGGCCAAAATTTTCTTGTCTAGTTGGCCACTTCATACCTTATTTAATGGATGTAATTATGCAATTAAAAAAAAATCAAATCTTTAGGCATAAATGGATGGTTAGGATTAAAAGAAAAATAAAAAGTGGAGATGGAAACAAATGAAGTGCTAAAATGTGAGTCAAACCAAGAAAAGTTCACTCTTTTGCCTATAAATTTAGCTCGTGGGGGAGAAGAAAATGGTGGGGGAAATACCAAAATTAAGCCAAACCTTTATGAAAAAAAAAAAAACCAAAATCTCAAATCAACTAAGCTAAGACATTAAACACATCCAAACATCACTCCATTAAGCTTTGGATCATAGTTGGAAGATCAAAAATAGTCGGGAGGAAATTTAGAGAGGAGGCCAAAATTTGAAGGAGGAAGGAGGGTAGAAAATTTTACAAAATTGAACTTAAAAGAAACTAAATTAGAGCATTAAAAGTAAGTTAGTCTCACTACATCACAAGAATTTAAACTTTGGTGTTGACTTGAATGATTTTTTATGGAAAGATGATGTATGTATATGTGTTTGAATGTGTTTATGTTGATGGAAATGAAAGCGTTCATACATGAACGTGTGACTTTAGGATTGAATTTAATGTTGGTGAAGTAAATTGATGATGTTATGTAATTAATTTTGCATGAATTATTAGGTTTGCATAATTAATTTAAGTTTAATTGAATAAATTAAATTAATTAGGGTTAAGGTTCTTGAGCATGTGAATAGAGAAAAATGATTTAAGTGTTGAAATTGATAAAATTGATGATAAAACAGACTCATTAAGTATGTAAACAAGTAGTAAAAATGCAAAACTACCTAGCCTAATTCAAGAGAAAAGTTTTAATCAAAGTGAGCAATTTTAGTGTTTAAGATTAATTTGATTTATTGATGTTTAATTGATAGAATGCATGCTATTAAAGTATAATTAGATTGTTCAACATGTGAATTAACATTAAAATTAAAAAATTCACCTAGCTTAAGCTAGGTGTATATTTGGTCCAAATAGAATAAATTAGAGTTAGAAGTTTGATTCATGCATTAATGTTGTTAGATGGTTTAAATAAGGAAGTTAGAATAATTATATGGGTTAGTATGTGAATTAGTAATTAAAATGAAAAAAATCACCTAGCTTAGCCAAGGAAAGTTTCGACCATATATGAAATTTTAGAGAAAAATTCAGTTAACCACACCATTATTTAGATTAGTGATTTTATGGTTGATTAAATGTATTACATGTGTTTAATGTATGCAATTATGTGTTTATTGCATGGTTGCCTATGTTTATGGAAGATGTGAAATGAGTGAATTAATTAGTGCAATAACTTATTGATTGAATGATATTTCCAAAGTGTGAATATATTTATGCTATTATTACACGAATATGTGAAATGTGATGTTATGCGATACACTGCCGTAAATGTTAAATTTGATTGGATTGAACGCGATTGTTTGAAATGTGAAAGGTAATAGAACGTTATGTGTATTTTTAATATGTTGAGGCATCCAATTTTATTGCATAAATGCATATTTATTTATGACATGCATTATGGTAACTCATGAGGATGTGCATTTACACTTAATATATACATGTCATAATCATGAAAGTTTTTTTCTTATGGTTTTTACAAAGGAAAGAGGAAAAAAGGTTATCGGAGGTTTAATTATCCCTAATATTTCTTTATTGAGGGAATTGGTAAAGGTCTCGATAGAAGAAAATGATAAAGGAAAAAAAAAGGATCAAATATGTACACATATGTGTATGACATATATTCGGTAGGATGTATCCGAAAAAGGAAAAGGATTTCAAAAAGGACATGAAAATGATTTTGGAGTACATTCACTTGCATACATGCATAACTTGCATGACTAACTTACTAAACAATAGCTCACCCAGCTTTTCCGATGTAGGTGTGAAGAATAAAGAATAATGGCCATGTTCACCCTAGAAGCTGAGTTATCGAAAGGACTCTCCCGTCCGTCCACAAGGTGTATCTTACTTGTAGTTGTAAGTTAGATATCTTACATATGGTCATGTTTCTAATCTTCGATATTCGTTATATGTACTTGGTATGGCTACTCTGTTTTATATGATGATAAAAGTAATGACTAGGTAAACGGGTTTAGATGTTTAGCTTATAAAGAAAGAGTAGACTTATAAATATGTAAAACCACTTTTGATAAATAGTGTAGTACCAAGCTAGATATCATGAAAAAAGAAAAAGAAAAAGAAAAGTAGGTTGTAAACATGTCAACTAATTTTAGACGTTCTAAACATGTAATAAAATAGTAATGTGTAGCTATAGTTTTTGCTTAGTTCGGTACCTACATACTACCGGCTAATAATAGTGTGAATAATTAAGTGGGTATGGAAATGTAAATAATAAGAAAAGAATAGGAATAAATGAATGATTTATCTTTATAAAAGATAATAATTAATGAAGGAATAATTTAGGTAAATGATTAAATGGTATCGACTTAGATAGATTTATTACTGTCTTTTAGAAAAAGAATTTGACAAAACTAAAAAACACAAATTAAGTCATTTCAATCTATAGTAGAATAAAATGTGAAAACAGAAAAAATTTAATAATGCATTTTGGACTAAAATTTCTAAATAAGGTTGTATTTATTAGCTATTGAAAGGCTTTTGTAGTGAAAATCATAATTAATAAATGTAGCAAGAAGGACACGATGCCTTATGTATTACATTCATTGTGGGGCATGATGGTAATATCCTCAATCTATTTAGTTCCAAGGTTAGAGATGTTATAACAACCCTTAAACAACCTTCTTATAACACCTAAATGGCCCCTTTTGTAGCCCTATACAACCCCTACACAGACCCTCATACCACACCAACGGGCTAGCCAAAGTTTAGCCAAAACTTATGGCTTCTACTCCTCTTTAGTCACTTAAAAAAAATAAATAGAACACTTAAAAAACATTATTTGTTGTTGGATTATGTTTGGCAAGAACAATATGATGTTGTAGATTGTATTTGTATTATTTTTTTGATAGGAAAAACACAGACAATAATTTTTTTTTGCCAAGTCTTCCAAGTTACGGGGACTTTGCAAATTTATAGTAACTTTGACAACAAGCAGTGACCTTGACCACATGCATGGATTTTGGAGAGGCTTTCAATCACTTTGGTGAGACCCATATCATGTTTTAACAACAAGTAGTTACTCTTTTGCCTAGCTAACTGAATAATTAGTTACATCGGGGATGAAGATAGTAAAGCCGACTTCGAATCAAACATCCGAACTATAAAACATTTTGGGTAAAAAACTCCAAAATCACTACACTACTTAAAAATGAAAATAAAAAATGACTAAACTACTTTAAAAAGTGAATGAAACTATCACATTTCATTTAAATACTTATCGGTTTAAATATGATGGAAACAAATATTCCTATGATGGCCATTTAGGATAAACTATCATGTTTTCCTATTTTATACTTATGTACTTAAATATGAGATTTATGCTTGTTTTTTTAATTTTGATTGACTTATAGTGCTCGATTGCAATGCTCAAATAAAGCCACAAGTGATTTTTCACTTATGTGACAAAGCCATCGATGGTTTTAGAATAATTTTACCTATTTTTTGTTTTCTCAAAACGAAGCCGTTGGTGACTTCACTTATGTAACAAAGTCGTCGATGGCTTCTAAACTAGTTACTCGCTCCTCATTCAAGCAAAAATGAAGTAGTTTGTAACTTTTTACTTATGTGATGAAGTTATCGATAGCTTCTCAAATTCAAGACTTGAAGTCATCGGTAGCTTCCCACTTGTATGAATGAAGTCATCGATGAATTGTCGCTTATGTTAATAAAAGGCTATCTATATTTAAAAACCCACATACTTGTCGGTAATAGGTCTTATTCACTAAAGACTAGTTAAAATTTCAGACTTCCTCTACCTTTCCCCTTTGGATAGGGGTTATTGACCTTAGACCGGCTCAAACCTCCAAACTATCCTATTTTACCCTCGAACCATCTTGTTTTACATCCAAACCCGCAAACTATCCTATTTTTACATTCAAACCCCCTAAACTATCATGTTTTATATCCAAACCCCCAAACTACCATGTTTTATATCTAAACCGCCAAACTAGCTTGTTTTTATATTTTTATAAAATAAAATCATTTAAATAGATATAGGAGCATAACATAGTAAAAATCAAATTTTTATGTTCGTCGACAAACAATGCACCCTACCTTCGGTAGGATGGGATAACG